CATAAATAATAATAATAATAATAATGTCATCACAATGTCAGCACTGTATGTTTCCATACAATGACGAAATTAGTCTCTGCATTTAACCCATCCACCACCAGGTGGTGCAGTGGGCAGCTATTGAAAGCGCCCGGGGGACATTTTGGGGATTAGACGTGCTGCCCAGAGACGCCACGTGATGTGCAGTGACTGGGGATCGAACCTGGGACTCTCGGGTCCCAAGCCGGCTGCCCTGCCTCTACACCATCTCAATCGATTTTTAAATGCGTTTGTTTTATTTTTTTCCGCTCCTACTCCTGAGCGTACTGCATATCGCATTACATGTCTGCTTGGCCACTGTACAATTGGGCCGTGTAGGCCACCGTACAGTGAGCTAGTTAGCCAGCTCCCTTTATCTGAATGGACTTAATAACATTAAAAATATTTGTTTAAGTCACAGTATTAAGCAGATGTGTTAATATATTGATACAGTTGAATGAAGAGTAGTAGTTTAAGTCATCAATGTTCAAAATGCTGTACAGTTTTTAAAACAGCTTGTATTTCATTATTATCTCTGCAACAGGGTAGAAGAAATTACATGTTATGACTGTTTTTGTTTGATGAATAACATAACTGGTCTCCTAACCTTTGCAACAAACTATATTTTCCTATTATGTAACAATAATATTAGTATTTTGTCCTTATTCATGCAGACATGGCTGCTCTGTGCCAAATGTATGGGGATCCCACAATAAGAGGATCACAGAATTAAACACAATGATGTTTCCATCTGCTGCTACTCATGTGGGATCCCCCTCTTTTTCCTCACTGTAGCAGCGCGGTGCAACAACAGGAGGCCAGCAGTCACAGATGGTTCTGCAGGAAAGGCGGCACTGACTTTTTTTGTCTCCCCACAAACATGTTTGGCGTGTAATCCTGGATTAACAGGGAGACTTTGTGTTCGTTTACAGCTGTAATACAGCATTCTATTAATGCTTGTTGCCCCACCACACAAGTACACTGGGTATTAGGGACAAGAGATAGTGTGAGTTGCCTGACTCGTTGCCTGGGGGAAATTAGAGCGATGATAGAGATCCAATCAAAGGTCCCTGTGGGTATCTACCTCATTCTGAATCCCAAAAGAGTCACTTCATCTCACACATTGCATTGTATATTAAACACACAGGTGATGCCATTGTCCATGCATATACACACAAACACACTCATGCACACACTATCAATGACCGAGCATGCTTCGGAAAACCAGGCGGCTGCATATGGACTCTTGATATCAGTCACTGGCCGTGTGATCTTGTTATGCAAAGTCCCTTAATCCCTACCTATGATGAATGCATGCTGGAATGGAGAGGTGGTGGGGGGGAGTGATGAAACAGAGATATGAGACCAGCTGCATGGGAGACTGTCTACTTTGCTTTGTGAATGAGTGCTAGCAAAGATTTTTGATCCCTAGTCCAGCAGAAGGAGGTACATATGTGAGATCATGTCTGAGAGAGCATTACAGTACCGCAGTGATGATGAAGCATACTGAGAGTAAGCAGAGAAGGGATGGACATGCTGTCTCAGTGCAAACCTGAGATTCACATTAACCTTTAGACCACTTTCTTCTCAACTGAGGAATTAGAGGGCCAGAGGTGTTATTGTACCTGCTAGGGAAGGACTGAGTTTATAGGTCCTGCAGAAAAGAACAAGAAACAGGGAAAAGGGGCACTTCATTTTGGCCCTGCACTGAGCAGCTATATGTCCCCCTTCACCTGCTCAAGCTCTTGTAGTATCTGTGAAAAGCTAAGGGTTGCGAGGGTGACTGTGGAATGGAGAGAGTAACAGCAGCAGGGATGAGAGAGGATGAAGTTGGTCTTTTTTGGATCAAAAGGATGGTGAATGGGCTAGAGACATACCATGCTAAGAATGAAAGAATAGATACAAAGTTTAATAGATGAAGTCTAGCTGGAATGAATGAGAGTGGACTGTGTGTGTGTGTGAGAGAAAAAGAGAAAGGAGAGGGAGTAATGGGATTAGGGGTAACACCTTTGGCAGGGCTCAGGGAGCCACCTGACACCCAGTCTGTTGGGAACCTGGGGAGAAAGGAGGTGGAGGTGAGGGAGAAATTGGGGGCCTAATCCTTGTCCATCTTTGGGAAGTCATTCCCAGAGCTCTAAAGATTTGGGGCTTTGGTTTCCGCTCTGCTTGCTTTGGTTAATAATACCCTGGGAGGGAGAGGAGACATGGAGAGAGATCGAGGGAAAGAGACAGAAGGAATAGAGGAGATGAAGAAAAAGATTTTGTAACCCTGTGGTGGACTAGCAGGACAGCAGCCTGAGCAAAAGGAAAATGACTGAAGCATACACTAACATTTAAACCTTATAGTATCTGTTAGACAATTTCATTATGTGTATATACAGGTGCTTTTCTTCATATGCATCAATGACAGTGTATAAATTCTGGTTTACTTTCCTCTGTTCATCCCACAAGTTGAGTAAAAGTCAATAACCTGAGAGTGGCTGAGATGTTTGCTTAGTAGGTACGTGTGCATAGTCGTTGTTTGTGTTTGAATGACATTGTTTGCAGGGCAGTTGTAAGGGTGCCAAGGTGTTTTTGTGTTTCTATGGTGCTGACAGGAGTTGATAACAGCTCTAATGATTGTGGTGGTAGAGGAGGCAGCACAGATACAGGGGCTGGCTGCAGACAGAGCAAGAGCTGCTTGGCTGGATGTGTCACAGCTTCTGTGTTTGTCCATCACCTGAGCGCAAGGTGTTGATGGGTCCATCCTACACAGGATCAAAGTTCAGGACAGTTTTCTGGTGTGAACCAGCCACTCAGCCCCTGAGAATGAAACACTGAAGAATGTGTCATCATAGCATTTGGCCAACTGTGGCAACCTTGTCCACACCTTTAGAAATTAAACTCCAAATGCAACATTTTTCAGTCAGGTCATCTGGACAGTTTCATTTTTTGTGCTGAAACGTTTCACCTTCGATCCAGAAGGCTTCATCAGTCAAGGAAACACACAACACAAAACTGATTCTTCCCCCAACAGCTTACTCCAAAGTGGAACAAACCAGTTATGTTGGTGCTAAGATGGTCTCTTTGTCACGCCCCCTCCTCCATTGCCGGCCCTCTTCCTTGTTGACAGTCGTGTCTGAAAAATGTTGGATTGTGTACTTGGATTATTGAGCATGGACTTTGTTGTTAAACTCCAAATGGCTTTTCTTTCTCTCTCTTTAAAAATCCTTTAAATAATTTAGTTCTACCAGGTCTGGATCAGATATAGTGACTGTAAGTGTATCATAAGTTCTGTCTGTTCTGTTTCATAGGTGACGATGTTTCGTCGTATGTTGGGGAAGACCTTGGGCTTCGTGGGTTATACAATCCAGTACGGCTGCATTGCACACTGTGCCTTTGAATACATCGGAGAATTTGTGGTGGTTTGTATTACACAAAATATAAAAATTATGCCTCTTTTCTCACGTTGCATAATTATTTTTCTGCACAAGGAATAACCAAGTTTTGTTTCCTTTGTCTTAATTCAGTGTTCTGGTCCATCCATGGAGCCGACGATTGTAAATCATGATGTTGTCTTCTCTGAACGCATGAGTCGTCATCTTTGTAAAATACAAAAGTGGGTAGGACTGATGTGTTTCATTCAGAGTACAACACATTAAATATTACATGTACTTTTACATTCACTGAAAGATTATGGGCTTATAATTTTACAAATATGCATAGAATGTATCTGATGTGTTATAATTAATCAGTATGCTTATGTTTTGTTTTCAGTGGTGACATAATAATTGCAAAAAGTCCATTTGACCCAAATATGAACATTTGTAAAAGGGTAATAGGGCTGGAAGGTGACAAAATCTGCACAAGTGCCCCTTCAAATTTTTTCAAGACCCACACATATGTAAGTATGTTTATATCACACACACACATACATTTTGTTTCCTTATACAAATTTCTCATTTACTTACTACCTGCTTTACAAGTGAGGGTTCGTTTTGGCAAGCTTATTCAAACAACCACAGCTCAGTGCATGTCCTAGAAAGCAAACTGAAAGTTATAGTTTCATAGAGAATGAATGAATAAGACATTTAGTAGAAAACACTTGATAGTCTCTTCCACTATAAAATGCCACAAAATACTTTATGCATTATGCAGAGTTGTGTTTCAGTTTTTCTTTGTATGTGCACCACAGTCTGTACGCTGTCAGACTTGTTTACATTTTAGACCACGCACATCCATTTTGTGTCACTGATCAAAAATATCAGCTTTTGACAACACCTATATTTCCTCAGAACAGTGATAAAACCTGAGAGTGATCGAGGTTTTGGCCACTGAAACCACTGTCATTGCTTTTCTATTACTACTCTCCCCAACACCCACAGCTCAGGCCTGCAATCTCTCTGAAGCCTGTTAGAGTTAGTGCCAGCCGAATGGACAGACTGATGGGTGGGAGGAGGGTTGTCTGAGTGTGTGTTTGTGTGTGTGACAATATATGACAGTCCACAAACCAAAGGCTGTGTTTATGTTGCATGTTTTTGAATTTATGTTGTATTTTATAGACTATAGGCAGACACTTGGATGAGGTTATAAAAACATTGCACAGGGCCAAGTCTGCAAGTGCCATTCATCAAATGAAAAGTAAATACCGGTACTTTGGTTTCCTTTTCTACTTTGCATTTATATACAAATGACTAGAACTTGTAAGCAATGGGATCAGTGCATTTTGAGCTATCAAAATATATATGAAAAATGTTTCAGCTTGAGGCATTTTTTTCAAGTTTACATTGCTGTCCATGAGTTTAAGCTAGTTCCTATTGACTCTGACTCGCTTCAACATATTTTTAGGGTTGGTAATCCTAGGGCTGGACAATAATTCAATATCGATATATATCACAATATACTTTTAGTCAAAAACGGTGATATGAGTTTTAAGCACATTTTCGATATTTCAATACACGTTACGCTATGATTACAGCGTTTCACTGACGCATTTCTTTTTTCTGTTTGGGTTGAAGCGGCTGTTCAATTCAATTCAAAAATACTTTATTAATCCCAGAGGGAAATTATTTTGTTGTTGTAACTCGTTATCCTCATTTCATTAAGAGATGCTATAGATACCGATGGCTGTAGACAGGAAGGATCACTTGTAAAGGTCCATCTCACAGTGGATCCTAAGAAACTGGCTGCAGATGCCGTCCGATCCGTCCACCCAGACTCGGCTGGCCTCTTGGTTCCCCTGGACTGTAGGACCGCTTGAATGCTGGGCAGAACTCCTCCCAGAGCGATGGCCGCTCCTCTCAGAAGTCTGCCGAGCTCCCCATAGCTGCGGACAGCCAACTGTAGGTGCTGAGGGACAATCCTGTTCTTCTGCTGTCGTGAGCCGTGTTTCCTGCTAGTTCCAGAGTCTCAGTGGTCAGGCACTCGAGCACAGCTGGCAGGTAGATGAGAATGCATCCATAGAACATCCTTTTCAACTCATTTGAGAGTTGGGGCCATAGTTGAGATATTATTTCAGCTTTTTAGATGTTATTCAGCTGCTGTTGTTGTAGAAAACTGCCTTGTTGCCATGGTTACGCATCATAACAAATGTCCAAAACTAAAAAAAAAAAGTAAAAATCCTTCCAGCTGCACAGCATTCGATACCAAAGGAAACGATCATCCAAAAAATGTGATTTACATCCAGAAAAAGAGGAATTAAAGTTTCCAAAAGCAAAATCTCAGAATGAAATTAACAGAGCTGCTCCAACATGCAGCCTCCTTGAGCGGCGCAATTCTAGAATGGAAATGTTTCAACTCGAACAGAAAAAGCCGTGACACAACTAAGTCCGTGGTGACGTACACCACACACAGAGCTCGAAGGAGTCAGCGGTAGTAGGCTAGGATAAGCTCCAACACGCGGTAAGTTTTCGCTTGAAAATGAGTGCCCATGACCGTCAGAATTTGACTGAACAGGATTTCACAAGCAAAGAGAAAGCAGATGACATAATTGGTAAGAGAGGAAAGACTAATTCGGTGGTGTGGAAGTGATTTGTCTATTAGGGGTGCACCGATTGCAATTTTCTGGACCATCACCAATTTCTAAAAGTCTGACCTGCCGATTCTGATTTTGACCAATACTAATTTGTTTTTATAAGCAACACTGTCAGGTGTTATAAGGTCACAATGCACCTTCAATTTTCCAATCTTATTTTATTGAAAAACATACCCTTGAACAATATCCTAAAAACAATCCAAACTTGTTTTAACTGGTAGTGCTCTGAAATATAAATGAAGTTCAGACAATTGTTGTTAAAACAACAAAAAAAAAATCTGTAAAATTGGTTTCTCATGCAAGTATCGGCCAATTTCCGATTTCCCAAAATTAAGGAAATCGGGGCCACCCCACTATCTAAGATCCGATAAACTTCAGGTTTCAATATGCTGCAAAATGTGCCGGAGAATCGTTCCAACTAGTAGTGGGAACACATCTAAGTTGTTCCACGTTTCCACTCGATAGAATATGATGAGTCAGAAGATGAAGCACAATAACAGTTTGAGCCAGCGTGTCCCTGAAACAAACCCCCCCCCCCCCCCCCCCTAAGCTGTATCAAAAGAGAAACATGCAGCAAATGCAGACGTTTGCTGCATGGATGTTGTTTAAAGTTAAAACTATTAAAATTGACAAAGTTGAGCATTTTATGTTTATTTGACGGTGAGTTCAAATTTCTTTGAAGGCTAAATACAAATAAAAGATGAACATTAATTTATTTGTACAGTTTTTTTGAGGCATTTATATTGTTTATATCAATATTGGAATTGTTATCAACCGAAATTAAGAAATATATCATGATAAAAGTTTGATAATCCTAAATAGTAATAATTTCAACTACTGTTTTCACTTTCAGATCATTGTTTAATCTTCTAATCTGAATTCTGCTTTAGAACAGAACATTCTTCCTTTTTTGCCTTTGAGTTAAAAGTTAATTTGTGTATTTGGTCACATTTGGGCCTGTAAAACGTTGCTATAATGAAAAAGTACCAAAACAGCCAGGTCCTTCCATGGCCTCAGGCTCCAAAAGAAAGTTAATCTACATATCTGTGATTGTCCCCTGGTGGCCTGCAAACATTTCATTCTGCCCATAAAGTTTGAATATAATATTTGATAAAACATGTTGACACAGTAATTAGTTTGCTTGCTTGCAGCATGTGGTCAGGCCCAACTTGAAAAACAGTAAAAAAGAAAGCTGCTGCTGAGTCCGATGAGTCGCTAACTCTATTTAGCATAATTCAATGTGAAAGAGATGAGACATATGAAGCCTGGATTCTACTTTAGGTATCCTTTTTTTATTTTTTATTTTGGTGCACCAGCCAAAAAAACCTGACACTGAACTTATTGCGTAGCTTTGATTGTTTTGCTCAGAAAAGAACGTTGCAATGAGGGAGGCCCAGGTTTGAGTCCAGCATCGGATATGCCCATGATTTTTTGGTTTCCTTCAATTGTTACATTTTCTGTGGCATTGTTTTGTAGTTAGAACAGGACTACACTGCAGATGTTTTAACTCTTGGAACAATTACTGCATGACTGTTCCTAATATAGGTACATTTGTGCCTCACATAAAAGTAAAACAAACCCTGTTTTTGAACAATACTCTGCTTTGGGCGCTTTCCTGCAGGTAGTCTTACTTAAAATGCTCAAAAGCTTTAACTAAATTTGAAAAATATATTCTTTAGCACCGGCAGTTATCACAGCTTTAACATTTTCTGCATACTTTACTTACAATTTATGTACATTTGCCTTTTTATTTTCTGGTAAAATCTCGACCAAAACTTGGCAAACTGAAAAACAAAAGTAGAAGATTGTCTTCATGTCCTACAACTCTTGTCTGCATGTATGTGTGAATGTATGTGTAAGGTAACACTGTAAATGTCACACAATTGATAGAAACACTGTCTTAAAAAGAATCATCTGCTTCCAACTGTTAATATAGCAGTGGACTAATGCTAAACGTAAACCTTTGAAATCTCCAAACTGATAAATGACTTGGTGATTATTTACTTTTTGTAAAAGTTTATATGCTGACATAAATCCCAGCACTGCTTTTTCACATCAAATTTTTCCTGAGGTCAAATACAAAGGCATATACTGTGCATACAGTACATGCATACATACCAGATGCAGGAAGAGAGCCACCTGCATCGTGAAGGACCCCACTCACCCAGCACAAACACGTTTTGCCCCGCTTCCCTCGGGCAAGAGACTGAGGAGCATTAAGTGCAGAACCACTAGACTGAGGAACAGCTTCTACCCTGAAGCAGTTAGACTTGTGTATCTCTAATCAGGATTATCACTGGGGGAAAAAAAAATCACTGTGATGCCACTTGATTGATGTTATGTGCTGCTGATTATCCATGCTGCTCATCTCATGTTGCTGTGTTCATTCGTACTCATCTACTCACACACTCATGTCCATGCTGCTGTTGTTGGGCGTATTGTTTTTGCACTTTTAAGTGTTTAGCATATTCTTAGTTTTAGTGTATTTCTTAGTTCATATCTTAGATCTTACTACTGTTTTTCTTTTACAATTTATACTTTGTTGGATGTAACTGGGGCCTTGTACACACAATTTCATTCCACCACATGTACCACATGAGATGCGAATGACAATAAAGAAAACCATGAACTTGACATACATACATACATATAAAGGCATTTAAAAGTAAATGCGTTATGGTTTTACTCATAAATAGAGCAGACAACGACAACACAAAACTAACTATTAATTACAAAACTAACTATTAATTACAAAACTAACTATTAATTACAAAACTAACTATTAATTGCAAAACTAACTATTAATTGCAAAACTAACTATTAATTGCAAAACTAACTAATTAACAACATCCATATGCAATATCAAGCTGAACATAATTCTTCACCCCAGTTATGTTAAAATAATGAAAAAGGACAAATTAGAACTTACAAGTGTTAACACATTTTTTAATGCTACAAAGTTATGATGCATATTACCTGGATATTTTTAATATTATGTTTTGTCATATTTATTATGTTTTTACCTCCCAGGGACAAAGTGACTGTGCAACAACTGGTGTAACTGAGAAAATACCAGTTGTTCATATGGGTTTGAGTCTCCTTAGAGAGTTGATTTTTTTTTTTCTTCTCAGGAGGATTTGTGTGTTTGTGTGTGATTATGATGGTGTGAAGCCTTATTTGTAGACCTGTAGAGTTTTTTTTTTTGTGTGTTTTTTTTTACGGCAGTGTTGGACCCTGTCATCACCTACTTTCTTGTTCAGACAGATAGAAGCATCAAAGATCCAACAACAGACTAATTGCTCTCTCACCTTTAAGGAATCATTTCGATTTTGAAGCTTTTATGTCAAAACAGTGCCACTTGATCCTAATGTTGTACCAGATGAGACAGAAAGATGAGCGAGACGAAAGGTTCTCATATCTTCTGTTCTTTGCAGTAAAGATATACAGAATAACATAGCAAAGATTTAACTATATTCATATGCGATATTAAGCTGAACATAATTCCTCACCCCAATTATGTTAAAATAATGAGCAGTGTAACGACATGGCTGTTAAACAACATTCCTCCACAGCGATGAGAGCTCCAGTTTCGTCTCTTCTCGACACGTCTCTGACAGGTACACAATGCCTGGCATCGACCTAACCTGCAGCTGCTGAACTACTGCTTTTTTTTTGCCATCCATCACAACAAAATCCCCCACCCCCACATTATTTAAATATACTTCAGCTCTGTATTGAGCCTATGTGGATATTTAGAAACATGGAGAAATGTTCGTCTGTCAAAAGTAGACATATTGATACTGTTGGGAACCAAGATGACAGATTACTCACATATGCCACCACCCTGTCTGCAGAGAAACTGATTAATTACAGGCTTTATGTGTTTCATCAGTCCTATAAATTCAGAGGTTTTTCTTTAACTTAATTCTGTTTTTGTTTTGTTGTTCACCCATCTGTGATTCACAAGCTGATGGGCCCCAATGTTTATGCTGGTTCTGTCCACAATGGAGCAGTTCAGGTTTCCAACCTCTTTATCACTTTTCTGAAAAATTTCCAGGTGATCTTTCAAGTAGATTGTCTTTACTCCTGCTTGAGTTTCTCTATGACGTTGTTTGTTTTATAAAGCTACTAATTGGTCTTTTTTATCATCGCGTTGTACCCTTGGAAAAATGAATTTTATGTACTTTGTGTAAAAGTTAGGACTTTTGGAAATCATCATGAAGGTCCAACACTAAATTTGTGAGTTTTGTGCTAGTTGTGTTATTGTCTGCCAAAAATAGCTATGTTTTTATATATATATTTTTAGCCTGAAAGGAGCCTTAGATTGTTTTGTCGACACACAGGGGTTGCACAGCACTGGCAGGAGTGTGTAATGAAGGAAATCCTCCTTCATCAGAACAGAGGCTAAGCAATGTTTTCAGGGGACTGGAAGATGACAACTGAATCTCCTGGGCAGTAATGACTTTTGGAAAACTTGTTAAATCCAAACATCATACAGCTTTTTGTGTTTCTTAGTCCTATTTCGTTTTTTTTTTTTAATTTGGTTTTAATAAGTACAGCCTTATGGTGCATTCACACCAGCCCTGTTTAGTCTGCTTTAATCGAACTCTAGTCCGTTGTACATGATTGATTGTTTTGGATGGGTGTGCTCTGTTTTGCACGTGTTAAAAGCCGACTTTTGAGATTCCAACAGGAGACTGGCTTGAAACGCAGCAGCAAAGGCTATGAAACAGATCTGGTTGGCAGGCCATAGACTGAGGAAGTCCTCTGGATGGGGAACGAAACGTTGCATTTAAAGAAACTGGTCCAGAGGACACAATTTAACCTTTTTTATTGTTTCTTCCTTATTATTATTTGCCTTCTTGTTTCTTGAGTTTTTAATATTAATTGAGGCATTTCCAAACCTTAAAAAAAGTAATAAAAGCATATTTTAGTGCAGTTAAGCTCAAGAATAGTCTTATCACACTGACTAATAACTTTTTGTTATTTGATCTGACTTGGAAAAAACACGACTCAAAGACTGACTGGATTTAGGTTTTCATCACCTGCGTTGTAGCAACAAGACTTAGTGTCTTTGCAAACTGCATGTTTGAATTAACAAGTTGACTTATTTGTACTACATCTGAGTTCTTGTCAAGTGATTTGGTCATTACTGATATGAAGTAATCATGCCTGTATTTATAGCACATTGCAGCGTTAGACTCTTACAGAACTGGACTCTCCCATAGCCACAGTTACTGATTTGCGTCCAGATGCAAATTTGCCCCAGATAGAAAATCTGACCCACAGTGGGTATTTTTACTGTGGTTGATTAGATGTTGCTAATTTGCATCGGTGTTGTTGATCAGTTTGTGGCTTTGCTTTAAGTTTTATTTAAACGACTGGAATGGTTTTCCCAAAATGTTTGAACAGGTGAACAGAAGATTTTCTAATCAAACCTTTATGCATTTAGGGTCAACCCAACCAAGGAGAATATTCAAAAGAAAACTCAAACTGATGGCTTGTGATTTAGCAGATGACAAACTATAGTATTTCTTTTTTCTTGTGTGCTTGGGAGCCGGCATATGTTGCCATGTTAATGAGGTGTAATGGTGAGAATCCAGCATGCTGACATATGGTTCTCAAATGACTCCTTTAATGATATTCATTTGTGTCATTATTAGTCAGTGAGTTGTTTACCTCATGTTAGGTCAACGTGTCACTAGCTTGTGATGATGTCACATCATCTGTCTCAATTATCAAATATGAAACAAAAAGCAGCATTTCACTGTAAGACTAATCAAAGAGCAGGTCCGAGTAAGAAGCTCAAACGTTAGCAAAGATTGTGACATCGCCCACTGTTCCTGTTTTTTTTTTTTTTTCTATTCTTTTTCTTCCAGAGGACTTTTGCCGTTAAAAAGTTAGGCAACACAAAAATAGACTCGCGGATTGTGATGCCCATTATGACAATATAATGTGTTGTTGATCCTGTCTGCACATATAGGGGGACAGCACACTTAATTAGGGCCTTGACAAGCCTACTCTCCTAAAGTGATGAGATTAATCATAATTGGTGTCACTGTGAATTAGAGCCTGCTTGGATGACCGCCCCACTGGCAGGTCGGACCGCGGTGGAGACCCTTGGACACTGCTGCTAGCTGCAGCGGAGTCCTCTCCCTTGTGCTCCCTCTACCCAGCTATCTCAGGCCCCTCTCTGGCTTTGTTTTCCCCCATCCCCACCCCCATGGTAAGAGGGGCATAGATCTTAGCCAACAGCCTAATGACCCTGTTTGAAGTTCTTGTAAATCCATATCCCCCAACGCTGTCCGTTACCCATGACCCCTCTCCTAAGATGATGCAGGTTAAAGAAGGGACCAATAGGTTGACGCTAAGAGAGGTGGGGAGGGAGGGGAAAAATGAGCCAACTGTTTGGACTTAATGGATCTACTCACTTTTACTAGTTGAGTTTAGTCAGAAACTTGCTTTCTTTCTGATATTTTTGTCCTGCTTTTGTGTGATAATATTTTTAGGTTCCAAAAGGCCACGTATGGCTGGAAGGCGATAACCTTAAGAATTCCACTGACTCAAGGAGCTATGGCCCAATTCCCTATGCCCTCATTCAAGGGCGTGTTTGCTTAAAGGTAACAACCAGGCTTTTCTCAAATGTTTTCCAAATTAAGCGACATCGTTTTCTTATGCGAGTTTGATTATGTCAAGCGTTTGCTCTAAGATGCTGTCCTTTAATAAATGTTTGTGTCATTCCATTTAGTCTGTTTTAGCTACAAATCAAAGACTTTAGTCAGTTTGAAGCTTAAAAACAACTGTGTGTGATTAACCAAAGCCTGGACAACATATTGTGTAGCTTTCTACTTTGCAAAGTTGTCTTTTCACTGGATGTCATCACAACCATGACCCTGGAAACAGGTCGTGCAACCTTCTGTCCATCTGATTGGACAGCGGCACTCCACTGGAGGCCATGCTATGACAGCTGATAAAATAACAGGATTGTTTTTGTAATGAGGTCAAATGCATCATTAAAAGCTGCGTTTTACAGCTTGTGCCAAAAGTAAAATACGATTTTTCACATTATTGTAGGGAGCTATTTTGTGTTTATTAATAGATTCTTTCTTAACTTCTTATTTTTCTGTTTCTTCCCCCTCCTATGCAGCTCTGGCCTCCACATAGTTTTGGTACCTTGAGCGAAAGCCCAACCCACCACATCAATAAATCTCAGAGGGACTCAGACTGACACATCCCACGTTTTTGTGATGTATCTTCCTGTACTTTGTCTAAATTTATTTTTAAATAAAATTGCCTTTTAATCTATTTTCTTTTTGATTGTTTTAATAAAGGTTTATTTAATTTAAAATAATTTTAGAAGCATTTTGAAGGCATACTGAATTAGATTTTTCCAGTTAAAATATATATATATTTTTAATACTCCAGCATTCTTACACACCTAATTAATGAAAATATTTTGCAATTGTCAGGTCTCTCTTGTAAATGAGTCCTCGAGGCTCAATGGGATTTACCTGTCTAAATAAAGGTTGAATGAATGAATTGTCCCGCCTGAGTCTTCTGGGGTCTTTGTTATGCAGCACTGGAAAAGAAGCAGACACAAGTAAAATTGTGTCTCTGTGGAATAGCTGATAGCATAAAATGTATGTGCTGTTTAAGCAAACCATTTCACAAATAATAAAATAAAGTAGAAATTTGCTTAAAACTACAAACTTTAAAGTTAGCAATTTCCTGTTTGAATCCCCTTTAAAATATGTTATTAATGTCATATTTACCGTGTCCTGGTTAAACAAAAGCTCCCTGATTGTTTAATATTTCATTAGTCTGCAAAGGCTATTGAAAAAAGTTAACATTTCCCATTTAACCATGCAATATTAATATGCACTTAGGAAAGACTCACTCTCCGCCGAGTACATTGTGTGTGTGTGTGGGGGGTGGGTGGGGGGTGGGGGGTGGTTAGGGTTGGGGGAAGGGGTTGTTTAACACTCCTAATCCAATATTTGGACGCACTAATGGCAATATGTGTTTACAGTTGTCAAAAAACTGACTACAGTTTTATTTTTTTAAGATGCAACACTATGACTTTACTTTTCCTATGTGGTCCATCACAGGACCACATAGATTTGTCAATAAAATTCATAGTTAATCACATACACTGTACAATTACAATAATACAGAGCATGATAAGCAATTAACTGCTGAAGGAGGAAAAAACATATCATTAAAGTATGAATAATACAACATAAAAATATATATTTCTATATAATTTCTTCTACATTACAAATATTTTAAACAAAAAGTTTGTCACAACAAAGCATCAAAGAACCAACATTTGGTCAGTGGCAAAAAAAATAAGCTGATCTTGTTTTATTTCCATCCGCCTGCTGACTCTTACAAAAATCCCTGCATTGCTGCACATTTGCAAGTCTTTCTCCTCCTGCTCAGACCTTCCTGGGCATAGAGACTTAACAGCACATTCACATACAGAGCTCAGCTGGTCATCCTCCAAGGCAGAGAGGGACTCTCCTCTTTTGAACTCCCCAGGGGAAGTGAGTTCTGGGCAGCCGTGGGTCCCTGTCCAGCTGCTTCGTCTGTCTGCAGGGGACCAGAGGGTCACAGACAAGGCTCACTGTGACACTGAATTATCTGCCCGAGTGTGATTTGTGCCTGCTGGAAGGAATACTCAAGATAATACGTGTGTGCGCACGCTCATGAAAAATATTCTTTAAAGGATGTGCTTCGAGCACATCTTTTTTTCTCAAGGTTTTATGTTCATCTGTTGCGTGTCAACATGGTGATGCTGTTCAGCTGAAATGCTGACACAAGTAATCTGAGTGCATCTCCTTCAAGATACTGCCCCGTAGGAGGGGCCATAGCTGTTTACTAACTAAAGCCGTCACGAATGAAAAGCTGTTTCTGATTTGAGAAATGTTAACAAGGTTAAAACTGAAGACTGGACATCCACACCACCAAAAGTCTATTGGAATAAGTCTGTATGCCATTCCCTTCTTAAGGCATGGAGGTCAGCTATCCCTTTGGGGAATTTGTCCCTATAGATGAAAGAAATTAATAAAATCTTTGGTTTAATCTATTTATTTGATTATGTGGATCCTTGATCGCGTTGTTGATCTCATTCTCATACTTTGAGCTGCACAGGGCTCCAAGAAGATGAGTGAGCAGAGGTGTTTATCATTTTCATGCTGAGTGGGCAGCAAAGTCGGGAGTGAGACAGAAGGAGAAAGACGTTGGATGAAAGGGACAACAGACAGCTGTGCTGAGCTATGCAGCGCTGTTGAGTCAGGCTGAGGGCTGTCAGCGAGGCTGAGGTGTGTCTGCTGCCTCTGAGAGACCATGGGATAACAGAAAACTACTTGATTTTTATGTTGCAATCATGTGTCACTTCAGGTTGGGGAGACGATCAATATCTGGTGTCCTACGAGATGAAAGACAATTCTTGTTAAAATTGTTTTGCCGTATTGGAAAAAGCAGATTCTGCCACCTTTTTGCTCTTAATAGATTGTTGAGTCAAAGATAATTGTACAAAATTATTGTTTTATATACAATAAAATATAAATTGTGAAACTATTTACTCATTATGTTTATCATATTTTGTTATATCTAAAAGGCCAAAGATTTTTTTCATTCAACTTTCATTTATACAGGTTATTGAGTCACAAGGACGCATTTTCAAGAGAGACCTGTTTTAAACAAAACATTTGTTAAATGTATTAGGTTTTCTTGTATATTTTTTAAACATTTAGTTAGGTGGACAAAGTGAATTTGTTCAATAATTGTTAAATGTGGCTGACAATGGTTAAATGGTAATGTCTTACCCAATGGCCATAATACATTATGTTGAAATGCAATATTGTGAATTTATTAAGACTCATTTGTTAAGCTTTGACCAAGGCACACAGCTCTGTACTTCTATGATGAATATTTTATTGAGTTTTCTTTTTTCCTCTCTCTATACCATACATTAAGTAAATCATACCCATTTTATGTTCTTTTGCAAGCAAAACAGGAGAAACTATTTAATTGTCATACACGAAACCTGAAACCCTTGTTTGTTCAATTATGTAGCAAAATATCCATATTTTATCATTACCTGCTTCTTCCTTTTTGGATCATGGGACTCACTGGTGTCCATGTCCAGCTATCACTGTGCGAAAGGTGGAGGACGCCTTGGACAGGTCTCCAGTCCATCACAGGACCACATAGAGAAAAACAAGACAAACAACCATTCACTCACTCACACCTAGGGACAATTTAGAGTCACCAATCAGCCTAACATGCATGTTTTTGGTCTGTGGGAGGAAACTGGAATACTCGGAGTAAACCAATGCATGCACGGAGAGAACATTCGAGCTCCACCCAAGAGGGTCCCATGCAGGCTGGGATTTGAACCAGTGACCTTCTCATTGTGAGGCAACAGCTCTACCAACTGTGCCACCATGCTGCCCATGAAAAAAAACTAAACAATTTAAAAATAGTACTGCATGTTTACATTTAGTTCATCAGTTCTACATCCCTTTGTATTTTTTGTTCTGGTAAGTTCTGTTAAAATTAAATCTGTTTAATCAGTGGAAACTTGTTGCATTCAGAAGAACACACTGCAATTTAAAAAAAATAAATTTATGATCTTTTTTTTATATTTACAAACCTATTTTTTCTTGTCAATTTGCTTTTGGCTTGAAACTAACTGACAAAAGTTGATTGGATTTATAAATTACATGGTGACAAGATCCTTCAAAGGGCTGGTATTGTATTATTATCCTTCATTAGTGCTTAGAAGACAGTTTTTTTTTCCTCTCCCAAACATCTCTGTTCCAGTGCTTTGACGTCAAATGTCCCATCTGCCTATAATGACTGCAAAAGTACTATCTTGACTTTATTTTAACTTATACCTGATACTCTGTACCAGTTTTGGCACATGATTTGATTCTTTGTAAAATGCTTTTTAAAGACAAGAATTTGGATATATTTTTTAACATTCTCATAGTCACCAATTTGTGTATGTCCTTAAACTTTTTCATAGATTTTACAAAAGTATTACGGCAGAATATGATAAGAAATAAATGGAGGGAGCAGACAGGACAAAAGAGAAGTGGAGTAGAGAATATTCTGTAGCAGAGGTAGGAAGGCAGACGGTATGTATTCATTTCAGGTTAATTGGATCCTTTTAAAGTGCAAAGACACGTGAAAAAGGAAAGCAGGAGGGATGTGCAAAGAGAAAGAGAAGCTGCTGTCACTTGTAATAGCCTGATTTGTTTGTTTTCATATCCATGTTAGAGAATGTGACACAAAAGTAAACTTGGGTCACACGCAGTAGCATTTTTCTGACATCCAAATCTCTCTGGAGAGTTCAAAAATACCTCGGGCAGCACGGTGGATTAGTGGTTATCACTGTTGCGTCACAGCAAGAAGGTCCTGCATGGGTTCAATCCCTGCTTAGGATCTGAGGTCTTTCTGTGTGGAGTTTACATGTTCTCCTGTATGTATGCATTTTCTCCAGGTACTCCAGTTTCCTCCCAGTCCAAAAACATGCATGTTAGGCCTTCAGGCTGGCCTCACTTGCAAATGAGATCAGTGATCTCAATGGGATTTGCCTGGTTAAATCAAGGTTAATGTAATCAATAAATCTAAACCTACACTAGCAGCAGGGGGTTACTGTTGAAAACCTATTGTGCTTTTACAAAATTTTTTTTGGATATACAGTATATATAAAATTAAAGTTATACTTGCATAAATTTAATCATGCACCAGTTCTCCGTCTATTTTCATATGTCTGTTCGCTTAATTTTGTTGTGTCCAGTTTTCTTCCTTTGCTTCTTCTTTTCATGCCCTCCTCTCCCATCCTCTCATGTTGTTGACTGCCGATGGGGAATTGCTCCTTTCACTGACGGATCCTTTCATTCTTCCCTTTTTAATCAAGCCTGTTAGTACTTCCTAATTAAGACATCACAGTTGTGTTTGATCACTCTTTTCTGGGAGGCTGGGGAGAAAGACAGTGAAAGAGATCATGAAAAGAAGTGTGTACACTCTACCAGTCTCTATTCTGACTGTGAAGATGACTGAGCAGCTTCAATTGGGGCAGATACACCTCCTTTAAGTCTGTTCTGCCAGCCCTTGAGGCTTGCAGTGCGTAGATTTACCCAAACCAATAGGCGTCAACCTCTAGAGATCCATACCAGACAGATGGTATTGGAGGCTGGATGGGGCAGCTATCGAGCTCCCTACTGTCAGTTTGTTGTGATGATCACACACACCAGGCTGTCAATACTCACAGTCCACTAATTAAAGCATTTTCAAAAGAAACACAAGGACTACTTCATTTAGAATTGTAACTTTTTTAAGAAGTGAGACTCTGAGCATCTAAACTTTAAAAGGAGTTACTTTAGGGGTTCTGCCAGAACTTGAGCCTGCCTTTGGCATTTGTTTTTTGTCCCTTAAAGGCAACCT